TCCAGATTTCTTGGCACAATTTGGTGAGCACGTCCATGGCAGCATCTGTTAACTGAAATATGTCAATTGGTATACCATCTATTCCTGGAGCCTTATTTTTTGCCATGGGAAAGGTAGTTCAAGTTCAAAGCATAACAGATATTTAAGAACTTGTCTGCAAAGTCAGGTGGCTAGATCAGACTTCTGGGTTCCTTCTCTGATCAATGAGAGGCCAGATGATATCAATAACTCTTGACTTCCAAGATCGTGTAAAGACTAGTCTGATGTCGCAGCGTGAAGGGAAGCAGGGAGGCTGTGGGCACTGAGGCCACTGCAGCAACTGATGTGCCAGAACCTCTTCTCTGTGTCTCCCCTTTCAGAACGCCCTTTGGGGCAATCCCACTTCTCAATTCTAAGGGAGAAGGGTGTCCCACCAGCACTGCTCAGGTCCCTCAAACTCTCAACATCCCCAGAACCCATTTAGGCTGCTTCCTCCCGGCTGCCTTCACCCCACTTCCCTTCCCACACGTACAACGTCCCACCCGCACTCTCGGATCACCGTACCACGGAGCGGGGGCCCCCACTCACTGTTTGCCGTAGTTACCCCCGACGGGTTTGGTGACGAGCTCCTCCCCAGACAGGGACGACTCGGACTCGCTGTCCGTACCAGTGGTGAAAAAACGCGACATGGCGACCACGCTGGGGAGAGAGGCGGAGAGACCCGGGGTTAAGGAGCACGCGAAGAGTCCTGGGCCTCCACCTGCCGACCCCTGACCCTTACTCACTGTCCCCACACATACCCCAACCTGGGTCACCACCCTTCTTAGAACACAAGGCCAAGAAGGACGTACCGGACGGGACCGCCAGAAAAGCGACCGCGGCAAAAACCGGAAAGGCGGTGAGCGCTAAGAGAATTCTTCCGTCACTTCCGGGAAGCCAAGGGACATCACATTGGGCAACTACAACTCCCAGGAGGCGTTGCACTGCGGCGTTGGGGACAGGAAGTGATGTAACACCCCGCACAGACCTTGAGTAAAAGGTTCCTGTACTTCCTGAAAGTCTCCAAATTTAACTGCACATTGGAGTCTTCTTTTAAAATACACGGACGTCGGACGTCTAGTCATCTGTGACTCATAGTGACCCTATGTACAACAGCCTGAGCAAGTCTCACTGACTCTTACATACCTACTCCCATTGCCCCAGTTACTGTATCAATCCATCTTATCCAGGGTCTTCCTCTCCTGCTGTCCCCCTCCACCCTTCCAAGCATGATGTCCTTCTCCAAAGATTGGTCCTTTCTGGCCACATGCCCAAAGTATGTGAGACGGAGCTTCAAAGTCTTATCCTCCAAAGAGCAACTTGGTTTCACCCTCTCCAGGACAGACTTAATGTGTTCTCTTTGCGGTTCATGGCATTTGAAGACATATTGATCAGCGAAAGACAAGACTATGTTGGAATATGCTGATAAAGTTTTCACTTACATTTTCATTCCAGAAATGCTTCTAAAATGGGTAGCATATGGCTATCAAACATATTTCACCACTAAAAAAAAGAAAAATAAAAAAATACACGGACATCTGAGCTTCACCCTTAAACGAAAGAATCAGAACCTGCTACCAGGAATTTACTTTTTTAATACACTCACGTGAAAAACAATGTAATTCACTAAATCAATAAAACAAAAGACAAGAAACACATTATTATCTCAATGCAGAAAAGGCTTTTGACAAAGTATCTTTTTCGGATTAAAACATTGAACAAAATGTGCACAAAGGGGGAATTTCCCCAACATAGTTAGGAGCATATACACTAAACCAATTGGAAACCTCATCCTCAGTAGGGAGAAATTAAAGGCATCCCCCTTGTGAACAGGGACCAGACAGGGATGCCCATTATCACTACTACTACTTCATATTGTTTTGCAATGTCTAGCTATAAGAAAGAGGCCTTTTCTCCTTATCTCCTTTCAAAAGGATACAACTTTCTAATACATTGATCATTATTATTTAAAAAAAAAAAAAAGGAAATAAGAGGGCCTAAGAGAAGGACATCATGTTTGGAAGGGTGGAGGGACGGCGCAGAAGACAACCCCGGATGAGATGGATTGATACAGTGACTGGGGCAATGAGGGCAGCTGTTTCAGAGTCAGTGAGACTGGCTCAGGATAGGGCAGGCTTCAGAGCTGTTGTACATAGGGTTGCTGAGTCACAGGCAACACGACAGCACATAACAACAACAAACAAAATGGTAAAGAGATGAAACTGTGCAGATGACACAATAATATACATAAAGATTCAGCAAGAATACTGTTGGACCTAGTTATCAATTTAGTAAAATGGTAGAATACATAATCAACATAAAGCAGTCAGACTTCTCCACGGTAGCAATGAACATTGAAAAGAAAAACCATGTTAAAAAGAAAAAAAAACCATGTCAATTACATAGCTAACCATAAGATGAAATGTTGAGAAATAAGGTGCGCCTGATGCAGGCAATTACTTGCTACGCATCAGAGAGCTGGGCAATGACTAGGTATGATAGAATTGATGCCTTTGAGCTGTGGTGTTGGAGAAGAGTATTGACTATACCATGGACTGCTAGGAAAACAAACAGATCCGTCCTAGAGAGATTGAAATCAGGTTGCTCTTTGGAGGCAAGGATTCTGACACTTCATCTGACGTACTTTGAACATGCGGCAAAGAGGGACCAGTCCTTGCAGAGAGGCGTCATGCTTGGTAGGGTAGAGGGACAGCGCAGGAGAGGAAAACCCTTGATGAGATGTATTGACTCAGTGACAGGGGTAATGGGGGTAGGAGTGTCTGAGACAGTGAGATTGGCACAGGATAGAGCAGGATTTATGGTTGTTGTACATGGTTCTCTATGAGTCACAGTCAACTCAATGGCACATAACAATAACACAACAATGTGAGTATATCCATTCCCAGAGAAAAAAATGACACAGGTTAAGTCAAATGATAAAATAGGCATTTATTCAGGTAGTAAATCCCCAAGACCAGCTTGGGGGTAGGCAGAAACGACGTCCTTCTGCTGCCCTCTGCTCAGTCTCAACACCCAAGCTGTGCAGGGAAGGCTTGCAGCAGAGTTCCCGGGCAGGCTCGAGTGTGGACCTGGGTGTCCCACCGGCTTGCCCACCCATAAGTCAGTGTGTCCAGTGTCAGATGCAGCTGAGGAGTCAGGTGAGCTGGCAGAGGAAGTCATGCAGAGGCAAGGCCAGGGCCCCTGACAAGGAGATCCCCAGGGTGTCGGAGATACAGGCGACAGTCATGGCAAATTCCCGGTGCTTGTCACTGGTCTGGGGAGGCGTGAAGAAGGGGTCAGGCTTGGTCCAGGGACCCCTAGCCCTGCCTTTCCCAGAAAGGCCTCCCAAAGACCGAGCTCGGCTGGCACTGACCTCCAACGCAATGTTGTGGAAAGTGTTGACGTAGGCCGCGCCCCCCAGCAGCCCCTCATACACGATGATCAGGAAGACAATATAGATGTTTGGCAGGAAGGCGAACCACATGTCTGCCATCAGGAAGCCCAGGTTGAGGCACTGTGGGAGCAAGCAGAGGGGAAGATTGAACCAGGGCCAGGCGGGGCTAGGAAGTAAGGGCAGGCATCCCAGATAGTAGCTCCTGGTTCTGGAAGGTAGATAGTGGGGGGAGAGGGGTAGCAGGCTTGGATAAAACCTCAACACTCACACTAACCTACTAGAAGCCTGGGGTGGGACTCAGCCAGCCCTTTCTTCACTCCACAACCCTACAACTCATACCCTCACCATTCCTCTGCTTGTCATTCCCATGGCCTGTATGCTAGTCTGCCTTTCTTCAATCTGGGATCTGTCATGTCTGTTTACATCAGGACCACTCTCAACACCTGTGATCCCTCTTCTTCCTCCCAAGGGCTCCCTGAACAGAGTTCTCCCCCCTTTATTCAATGAGCCCACCACTACCTCTGTGGTTCTCAACTGCAGGCCTTTAATCATTTGGTAGTTTCTGAAGATGTTCTTGGTGAACAAGAAGTGAGGAAGTGGGTGGGACTGACATCTAATGAGTGAGACCAGGGATATTGCTAAACACCCCAGACCATGCAGGACAGTCCCATGCAAAGAATAATCCAACCCCAAAGGTCATTAGATGAATTGAGAAATCCTGGTTTAAGAATTAATTCCTAAGGAAGTCTCTTCAAGGCCCCTCTTGTGGGTGCCAGCTCTTTAGAAAGATAAGATCTCCCACCTCAGTCCTGGGCACAGTGGTTCCCACTTTTGATGTACCCATAAAAATTATGTTTACCAGATGCTTTGCTGGAGGAGGGACAATCCTCCTGTAACAGTCAGATCCAATTTGATGGTACATGCACAAAAAATATTAATAGTTAAAAAATTATGTTTAGATCTATTGTACCCATATGTTCACTATGAATAGGTGTTGATTTGATGACACTCAACAACCTAAGTCACTGGGGGAGTTTGTTAAAAGCTTGTCAAAAACATATTCTCGGGCCTCCCTATCAGAGTTTCTAATTCAGTTAAGTCTTAGGTGGCCCCAGAGACCTACATTTACAAATTTTAACACTCAGGCATTTAACAGAAATGCCATGTGGGTTCACTGCCACATGGAAAAACAGAACACATCCACGTGCAGCATAAACCTAGGTACTTTCTGCCAGAGAAACAAGCGACTCGCTCGCTCACTGCCCTCGAGTGGGACTCAGTGTCCCTGCATCAGCTTCCTGAGGCTGTGAGCCCCAAGGGGAGGAGACAGCTCATCGTTCTCCTGAGGAATGAAGGCTGGATTTGAACCTTGAGAGACACGACCTTTTGGTTTGCAGTGTTACACCCGATAAAGTAGGTCACCAGAGCTCACAAGTGATCATGAGCCTCTGATTCTATGATCGGGATTAGTTTTAGTTAAAAATACAGCTGATACTGTAGGCTACAGGTTTTAGTAGCACTTTTAGGAAGCACTCTGAGTCAAGAGTTGATACACAGCCCTGTGTCTTCTAGGCCTGCAGGGGGCTCTCCTTCCCAGACTCACATTTCTTCTACTGCTCTGTCCTTGTCCAGAGGCCACATTCCAGTCCCAACCCAGGCCTGGCCCTGGTCACATCGCCACCTTCTTCCCCCCGCCCCCCCATCCTTGGTCACTCCGACTTGTAGAACTTTAACAGGAGATGCCAGGATTTGGGTGGCATCAGGTCCAGGCCTTTGTGCTGGTATAAGGGCCTGCCTGCAGCTTCCCTGGTCAAACTATCGGAATTTGTTTCTCTTGCCTTCTCTCATGCCTCTTCCTCTGGAAGAGGTACTTCCAGGACTGTAACTGGAGTGCTTGTTCACCCTCCTTGCCCCGAGAGGAGGGGAGGAGAGGAGAGGAGAGAAGAGAAGGCCAAGAGAAGTGCCTCTTTCCCTTCCTAATTGATGAGATGCCCCTAAAGCACTAAGATTTGCTTTCATTTATTCCTCAACTGGCCCTGATGTGAGAAGATGGTTATTTAAAGAGAACTCCCTATTTATTTGACAAAAATCAAGTTAATATATTAATGTGAAATAAACATCATTCTGTACTATGTGGTAAAATTCACTACTCATGGATGTTGAGTACCATTGATCAGAACTGACTCAGGAATAAAGGCCTTCCAGTAACAGTTACAGGTTTAACAGTTGCCTGTAGGGAGTGGAGACTGGAACCCAGTGAATGTTGGTTTTGTCAAAGGAACTGTTTGTTGACATAAAGCTGTAGACTCGTGTTTGGCCACTAATAGGTAAACTTGCTCATTGCCTTGAGAAAAAATATTTTGTCATCAATTCAATTATAACCGACTAGGGACAACTGAAAGCTGGTCTCTTTGCACTTGTGTTGCTGTTACGTGCCGGCGAGTCGACTGTGACTCTATGAACGACAACCCTATGAACAAGAGCTTGCTGTGTCCTCAGCCAACCTCACCAACTCCAACCCATTGCCACAGTCATCATGTCAATCCATCTCCAATTATTAGCGAAAGTTTGCAACTGTTTTTCCTTGTTTTTAGTGTCTTCCAATATGAAAATGAAGGCTTAGCCTCCAGTGCTATATCCATCATTCAAAGGGTTTTCTAAGGCCTGTTATTTCAGGAGTGGATGGCCAATCCTTCGCACTAGGTTTGTCCAAATACTAAATGTATGTTCTTAAGTGATTGAAACACAACTCAGAATGGAAGAGAGGAAGACCACCGATAAGATGGATTGACAATGTCACTGCAGCAACAGGCCCAAGTGGCAGAGTTGCTGGAGATAGCATCAAGTTCGGATCTGTCGCTCACAGGTCACTATGAGTTGTACTCCACTCGACAGCACCTAAAAAACATTCTTACCTACTCCGAGGTGTAAAAAATGGCCAGCCCCAATTCACAGATACTCACTTCCGTGAAGTCGTCTTAAAGGAAATGGGATCAGAGAGGCTCAGGGAGCAGCCCTAAGTCACATCCCGGCTAAGGTCAGAAGCGAGGATTTGCACTAGGTTTCAACCGACTCCTGAGGCCACGCATTGCACACAGCCCTGCTGGCCTCCTGTCCCCAGTGCCTAGAATGTGACCGTGTGCAACAAGACACTTCAAGCAGTGAGAGCAGAGTCTGGGGAGCGTGGGAGCCAAGGCAGGAAGGGAGTGAGGGGCAGGGGCTCAGTACTTGCAACACGGCCAGGATCCACGTGTGGCGGATGTGAAAACAATGGAGGGACGAGCGGGAGGCGAAGACACCAGCCTGGTACAGCATCTGGTACCTAAAGTAGGAGGTGCAGAGAACAGGGCACGGATCTAAGCTCGTGTTCACTAACAGGGCAGCCCAGTGGGCATCCTCCCACCCCGCTCACCCCCCTCACCAGCGGTACTGCTCGGCATGGCTCAGGAACGTGTTTCGGAAGAAGATGAGCTCAAACTGCAGCACAAACCAGAGGAGAAACATGGTGTGGGTCCCCACCCCAAACATCACTTCCTCCCCTGCTCCACGCACCCTTCACTCACCAGGCCCTGATTGATGAAATATTCCGCAAAGTAAACCAGCACCAAAGGGACGATGTGAGGTAGGAGGCTCTGCAAATCAGAAGACAGAGAGTTAAGCCTGGAAGGCGGGCACTGCCCTCAGGGCACACACCACAGTTACCACGTGTACCTTGAATACTGTCCACTTCTCCTGGAGAGAGAGGCTTGAGTCCGAGGCTGCGGGGGACAGAAATGCAGGGCTTATAAGGCTGGGATTCAGCAAAGGGGAGTCAGTGAGCAGGCACAAAGGTAGGGGAGACCTCACAGCATTTTGACAGTTACAAACCCACGCACCCCAGCCAGCCACACTGGCCCCTTCTTCCTGTTTTTTAAGCATCTATGCTCATTCCGACCTCAGGTGATGAGCACCAGCTGCCTAGAGCCTTTTCTCCCAGAACTCCACATGCTGACTCCTTGTCATTCAAGATTCAGCCCAGATGTTACCTCCTCACAAAGGCCTTCACTGGCCACTTTCTCTAATTAAGGCGACTCTTCATTTCTCTCCCAATTGTCTTTTCCTAGTAAATCTCTGCTTTATACGAGCACTCATCAATACAGGGGACAAGGGAGGAGTAACTTGTTCTTGATTCATAGATGTATTTGTCAATCTGCCTCATTTCCTTACCTGGCTCTGCCACCACTATGTCTTCCGTGCTTAGAGAGCCTGGCATGTAAATTGTGCTCAACGTCTGTGTGGAATAGACGAACGCACTTGGCTGATAACCACAGCCAGGACACGTGCCTGATTTCCACTGACTGTGTCCATTACAGAGAAGAAAAGACCAAAAGCCACAGTCTCCTACCTGGTTTTGATTCTGGGGCCTCAGGGTTCATCAGGGGCTGACGTGCTGCTGCGTCTGCTTCTTCCTCTCCTGTAGGACCTGGGGGTGCCGGGGACGTGAGCAATAAGAAATAGCTAAAAGGAGGGAGAAGGAAGACAGGGTTAAATAAAGAGCCTCTGTCAGGCAGGAAAAGCCCCCAGTGGCTGTCCAGTTAGTCCCCTCCCTCCCAGGGAAGCCCCTAGTTGTACACTTAGATAAATGGAAAGCTCTCTACCTTTTAAGTACCCTATTCTGGGTTGGAGAGCGCTGACTCTGGAAGAATTCTGCCTTCTTTGGAGCTGAAAGGTCTTTCCCTGTTGGTTCTACCTATCAATTCTCATTGTGACTCCTGGCTGCAGTCTGTGTGAGTCAGCTCTGTTTTAATCATTATTCTAATGTCCTTATTGTTACCTTTCCTCAGGTGCAGTCGCTATGTTGTGCTTTCCCAGTATTTGCCACATCCCCTTCTCCCCTCATACTTAGTATCTTTATGTAACATTTCTCCTTGAACTAATTCCCCTCTTTCCATGACCTTGCCCTAAGCAATAGCCTGCAGGCAATACAGGCGGAAGATCCAGATTAACCAATACAGCACATGCCTGTCTTACTTAAAATCATCTCAAGAACCTCACTGAGCTGAATGTTTCACATACGTTGCCTCACAAAGAACTAAAGACAACTAGCATCATTTGACATAAGAGGAGACGTCAGAGAGGTAAAGTAACCTGCCCAAAACCAGCACAGGTAACAAACCAGAGGTCAAAGCAAGGCCTATCAAAACTCACATTCTAGACATAAACAGAGATCTGGACACCTAGGTTCATAGCTGCATTATTTACAACAGCAAGAAAATTACAACAGCCCTTTCTACGAAGATGGCGCCGAAAGCGAAGAAGGAAGCCCCTGCCCCTCCCAAAACTGAAGCCAAAGCAAAGGCATTGAAGGCCAAGAAGACAGTCCTGAAGGGCGTCCACAGCCAAAAAAAAAGAAGATCCGCACGTCACCCACGTTCCGGCGGCCTAAGACGCTGAGACTCCGACGGCAGCCCAAATACCCCCGGAAGAGCACTCCCAGGAGAAACAAGCTTGACCACTATGCCATCATCAAATTTCCCCTGACCACCGAGTCAGCCATGAAGAAGATAGAAGATAATAACACACTTGTGTTCATTGTGGATGTCAAGGCCAACAAGCACCAAATTAAACAAGCTGTAAAGAAGCTCTATGACATTGATGTGGCCAAGGTCAACACTTTGATTAGGTCTGATGGAAAGAAGGCCTATGTTCGACTTGCTCCTGACTATGATGCTTTGGATGCTGCCAACAAAATTGGGATCATCTTAACTGAGCCCAGCGGGCTAATTCTAAATGTAATAAATTTTTCTCACCATAAAAAAAAAAAAAGAAAATTACAACAGCCCAAATGTCCATCGATACACAAATGGATTGAGAAATCATGGTACATTTACCCAATGGAATACTATGCAGCACTAAGGAGCAATGACTTTATGAAATACAGGAGAGAATCTAGAGAGCATTATGCTGAGTGAACTCAGTCTAATAAGGACAAATACTGCATAAGACCATTATTTTAACAATAGAATGGTAACTGTTAAGATGTGGATAAAAAGTCCAAAAGGAAAAGGGGAGGGGGTAGGGGAGGGAGGGGAGGAAGCCACTAGAATAACAGAGTTTGGTAAGAGGTGTGTGTGTGTGCATGTCAAGGAATTGGGAAAGATCCAGTGGGGACCTGAAAAGATGGGGTAATAGTAGGCACAGATCAATGGTGATTCATTTTATAAAGTACATTAGTGATTATCTAAAACACAACGTCAATGTAGGAATGCCATGTACATGAATGAAAGACATGGTATACGAGCTTTCATGCTAAACTTACCTAAAATAGAAATCAAGTGAATGGGGAAAAAACCCAACAAACCTGCATCTCTCATAACGAGGCTGCAGGAATTTGAAGATTGGACTTTGGAGCCCAATCTGTCTTCCTCCCAGCCCTGTGCAGCTCACCTGGCCAGTAGAACCACGGGAACACCCAGCATGGACAACAGTGTGTGCTGGGGGGAGAGGCCGGCCTGGGTAAGGCCCAGGTAGGACAGTGCCCCGAGCAGCCCTGCTCCCCCAGTCCCCGAGGACCACCAGGAGATGACACCCCTAAGGAGAGAACACAGGAGCACTGAGAAGGACAAAGCTAGTGGCCAGAATTCCACCCCTCTCACCCCATCCTGCCTGCTCACCTGGGGTAGAAAGAGGTAACGGCAAGAAAGGTTATCTCCCCCAGGCCTGAGGAGATGCTGGCCAAGACCACACCTGGAGGAGGGCAAACACTGATGTCAAAGAAGTGAGCACAGCGAGCCTTTCTCTGATTCCCCAGCCTCCTAAGGTGCTTGAGCACGGCCTCCTCTGCTGGGTTCAGAAGACAGGCAGGAGGACTCCAGGCCTGGAGTGGGGCCAACCACCTCCTGTGCACTTTTCTCTCTCAGACAGCAGTGCCCCAGACTCCCAGTGCTGTCTGCATCCCCAGTACAAAGCTGTCTGTGGTAACGGCTCATCTTAATCCCCCATCCATTATCCTTCCATCTCTACCACGCGACTCCTCCAGCTTGCCCTCATCTCCCACGTAGCCTAACAGCCCTGTGAGAAACCTAAAAATTATCCCATTCCTTTGGGAAGTTGGAGAGACTCTTCCCAAAACCCTCTATCGAAGTTCCTCTAGGGCCTACAGCCAACCGAGAACCTCACACTCACCAATCAGGCTGGTCCTCACTGACTGAGCAAAGGCAACTAGGATGAAGCTTCCTGCAGCGCAAACTCCACAGACGAGAACCCGAGGGCTGAGAGGGACATGAAGGGGGGAGGAGGAAGGTCAGGCCTCTGCTTTCAGTGCCCCAGCCCTGTGGGTCCTCCTTCTCTGCCACCTCGGCTTCCCACTCCGAGATCCCACCCACCTGCCCTTCCTCCCCGCTCAAACCTGTACGGCAGCAGATGAAGGCCAAAAGGAGCAATCAATTTGATGAAGAGGGTGGGGAGGATGTCAGCAAGGAGCACCGCCTAGGACAGGAGAACAGAGAGGTGAGGCCTTCTCAGGGACATCCGTCCCAACCACGGAGCCGAGAAGAAGCATGACCCTGCCCATCAGGCCTGCTACAAATACAGACTCTAGAGCTGGACAGCTCAGGGTTCAAGGTCCAGTCCTGCCTGCTACTCCTTAGCTATGTTTCAATGCTTTTACATTCTCTGAGCTCATTACCTTATTTGGGAAAATGAGATGATAGTGTGCAGCCTACAGGACTGCTGTATATATTAAATGAACTAATATATGCTGATGCCTCTGGAAACTATGAACTTGAGAGAAATGACGATAGTTATAGAACAGGGTTCAGGTCTTTTGTTCAAAGGGTCACTATGAGTCGTGCTCAACTTGACAGCACTTAACAACAAAAACAGTATACACTGTACACACAAAGGGCTCAGTAAACGTGGCTTTCATCATCCTAATCACGACAGACCACTTGGTGCTGAGGGGCTGGGATCTGGCATACAGACCTAGAGGGCCTGGGACAGAGCAGGGCAGGGCCAGATGACACTTACAGCTGTGGAAACAGAATTGCAGTCAAAACGAGATGAGCTATTGTGGGGGGCCGCTGTTGGGTCTGGGTCCACCTGATAGAAGAGAAGATCTTCATTACCGAGAAGGCAAGAGGGTACACAAACAGGATCCGGCTGCATTCCCAGCCCTGCTCTCACTTAATGGTGGTCTTGGGTTGGAACTGGCTCAAGGCCTCAGGTTTTTTTTAACTGGAGGGAGAGGGTTCACATAAGTCTTAAACTAATGATGACACAAAGGCCAGAGAAGGTCCTGCAAACTGACTTGGTTTGGTCAATACATTCAGGAGCTCACACACAAAAATCTTGAACTTCTAGAATCTGATCTTGGACCTAAAAGGTGGTGAGTGCTCCCCTGGAATGAGGTATGCGTCCTTTTGGGGACCCCGGATGTCAGGAGGCACGCTTGGTTGTCAAAGCTAAGGGGTAAAAGTGGCTTCGGCCATCAAGTGTGGAGAGGTCAGGGATACTGCCATCACGGTGGTGTACAGGACAGCCTCTCACGACAGGGAATAATCTGATGCAAGATGTCAATAGTTTAATAACAGTTGCAAAATCTTGCCGTAGACCATAGCCCCAACCCAGTCAACATTTGCATTTTGCAAAACTCTAGACTAAGTGATCTCCTGAAGATCTTGCCTGCCATGGGCATCTAGGAGACTTGAAAACTTTAGCTCCCTGACCCTACTTCTTCAGACTCCCCAGTCTGAAGTTTTCAACAATATCTGTCCCAGGTGATTCCATTCTTTTCCCATATGGGCCAAACATGGAGGTGGTGGTAGAGAGGGGACCACTTACATGGCTCTGATTTCCAGGAGCCCTCTGTTGTTTGAGGATGTCATGTGCAGCACTGAGCATCACCACGTAAGAGAAGTTGTTGCAAAGGCCCAGGAGCCTGGAGTGAGCAAGACAGACCTTCATCTTTCCATTCAGGTCTACTGAGTATCACAACCCTGGTACCAAACTCCCCCTTCTCTGTGCCTTCAGTCAGCTCCCTCATCTTCATTCTGCTTCACCAGATCCCAGCTCCATTCAGCGTTGGGGTTAAACCAGTCACAAACTCTGAGCCCCTTCCTAAGCTATCCTTGATCATTCTCTCACTCTTCTCTGACTTCCCACTACGATTCAGTCCTGGGCATTTCTCATTTGCTGACCCACAGTCTCCAATGCCTTGTGATATAGGAGAAAGAACTCAAGGCTTGAAGCTCAAAGGCCTAGATTCAGGTCCCAAGTCTACGCTTGCTACTTGAGTGGTCTCAGTCGGCTTATGGGGAAAAGGGGGATACATATCCCTATCCCCTCCCAGTTGCCTCATGGTGCTGTAAGGATCAAAACGGAAACACAAAGGCCCTGTATGATTTCATTAAGAGTTTTACTGATTTAATCCCACCTTCCAGAATAATTTATTCTCGGAGATGGGAAGGGATCTGAGCACAGGTTCAGGGATTTCATAAAAGTCATTTTTACAAACTTATGAAGTAGTATTTCTACTATCCCCAACTTATTATTGAGAGGAAAGTGGGGCTCAGAGAAAAAAAGAACAAATTCTCACACTGTATCTGTGAGACTCAATCTGCTACCAAATAAACACGGGGCTGATTTGATTTTTGGAGGTAAATAGATATTTTTTAAAAAAACTTAAGTTGTGATGCGTTATTTAAACAAGGATTGAGAAAGTACTGGTTTCTTATCTGGAGCAATGATTTAAAGACTCCATTTTCAAAACAAGAGTACTGAGAAATTTTGAAGAGTGAATTGGTTAGAGGGAAAAACATGAACTAAATAATGCTCCATCTGGTAAGAGGGTGAGGCCAAATATAAACAAACAAATGTAAACAAACACAAAAGACGTGGTCAATACTGTGGATGCCACTGCTTTTTCAAAGCACAACTCTTCTGACCCGACCCTACCCTCTCCTGTTATTTCTTCTTCCCACTCGATTTTCATCTTTGCTGACCTGAGACCACCTACCAGAAGCCAAGCGCGTTCTTCCACAAGATGCCCCGACGGTCCAAGAAAGGGGACCTGGATTCGGAGGCGTTGTCCTCCCCTGGGAGGGCAAGAAGAACATGACCCCCCACTCCACTTACTTGCAAGTGCAAGTGCAAGCCCCCGGAGGTGCCCGTCGGGGGTGGGGTGTGTGTGTGTGTGGGAGGGAGGGCCAACTCACTCACCATCTGAATCCGAAAGGCGTTGCCACGAGTCTCTAAGGAAAGCCATGAGTTCAAGTTCGAGTCCTCAGAACCGGGGAACGTCAACAAGGGCTGAGAGTTGGTTCTGATCGGGCCGACAGGGGTCTACAACAGATGAGAAGGCCCAACGCCCCACTGTCCAGCTCCGGATCCGCTGGTGCACTGGCCCGCGCGGGGTGACCCACGCCGCACATCCCCGACAACTCCCGCCCCCTCACGCCCACCACGCTCCACTCGTTGGACTCCACCCCTGCCCCCTCGGAAGCTCGGAGCCCTGCAGCCTGTACCTTTAAGAGCAGCCGAGCATTCCCAGGCAAGGAACGGCAGGTTGTGTGGTCACGTGACAGCGCCAGAGGGTCCATCACGTGCTCGGAGATCCTCCCCACTTCCGGGTCTTCTCTGTGTTTTCACCTCCGCCTTTTCCAGCTTCTGGGTGTGGGGAAGGGTGACCACAGGGTTTACACTGGAGCGGGTGGAGGCCTACAGAGAAGAGCCGTGACGTAAGAGTCGCGGCGTCCAGGGCTGTGACGTACCTTGCCAGTACAGAGTCCTGGCTCTGTGGCCCTCATTAGCCAGAAACAAGTATGGCCACCTGCCCACTAATTTCTGACCCACCTATTTGTGGTCAGAAGCAAAGACAACCACATTCTTTTCCCCCCCGTCTCCCTTAAGAATCACACTAGAATCCCAGAGGCGAACGGTTCAAATCCACCAGATGCTCTGCCGGGGAAGGAGGGACAATCTCCTCCTGTACCAGTCAGATCTGATTTGACGGTACACGCACACAAAAATAATAAAATTTTTTTTTTAAAAATCACACTAATACTATGCTGCATTAAAAAACAAGGAACCCATGCAATATTATTCAAAATGGTTGACTCTGGAGAACATTATGCTGAGTGAAATATCCCAGTCACAAAAGGACAAATATTACATGATGCCACTGTTGTAGAATGGGACTGTCCTTGGGGTTGGGGAGAGACTGAGTAAGATGGGTTCAATAATGTATACTGCACTGAAACAGAGGAGGGAGAGAACCGTCTAAAAGAGAGATGTAACTGGGTATATCTGTCATCACAGGAGACTAGAGCGAGGGCTGCATGGTGGAGGGGACCTGGGGGAGTGTTTGTAAAACAATGAAAGAATCTTTTCTTTTACTTTTCCATAAAAAAAAAAATCACACTAGAAGGATAGAGCAGGGTTCAGAGCTATACACAGTGTCACTATGAGTCACAAGTGACTCAAGGGCACATAATAAGTGTTAGGCCCGGGCAAGGAGGCCAGGAGGGGGAACAAGAATGCAAACTCCAGGCTGGATGGCCTTGCGTGAGGCTGATAAGGTGGACTAACGACCTTGCCAACCACCTGGAGCCAACCACGGGCTGTAAACTAAGAAATGGAATGCAACTCCCTTCTTCCCGAAGACCCCATTATAAAAACCCCAACCCAACCCCTCGAAGCTGCAAATTCTCTGCTCTGCCCCTTCAGGACAGAGGATTCGCCCGGGAGCTTCGCTTGAATAAAGATATAACTTTAAACTCTCTCTCTTTAGCTGACTTCTTTCAGGCGAGCTGCTATACAATAACAACAACAATTAAAAAAAAAAATCTCGTTTCCTAAACTATATTTTCAAGATTAAAATGCATAACTGAGAGAAAATGGCTTAAAATATCTTTGTTTTTTTCTCCAATTAAACACTAATTTTTTAGAAAAAAAAAGAATCACACTAGAAACCAGAAACTAACACTCACCTGAGGGGACTTGATAAATTATCTGTTGGCGGTCTCCAAGAGGTTAATAAGACACCTTTTTCTAAATGATCCTAGAACGAAAGTATCACAAAAGAGAAAATTCAGGTATAAAAATGACGAGTGACTCCCTGGTTTCTCCTGTGGAGTCAGCCTCTAGAATTCCCTGCAGTGAATTCCCTTCTCTTCAAGTCTCTGCTATGGCTTTCTAGCAGGCAGTATCCACCCACCAACAGGCCTTAACCACCACCTAGTCTTTGCCTTTAAGGTGGTATACTTCCAAACTTACTCAGTCAATGAAAAATGGGTTTCTACTGCTCACGGACCATTCACCCAAACCAAACCCACTGCTGTGGACTGTACAGGACAGTTGAACTGCCCATAAGGTTTCCAAGATCTTAAATCTTTATGAAATCAAACTTCCAGCTCTTCCCACAAAGTGCCACGTGGACTCAAACTATTTTCAGCCAACCACTGCGCCACCAGGGCTCCTTATCACTCATGCTAGGCTCTGGAAATCCAGCTGTTTCAGACATGGTTTCAGCCCTTAAGGAACTTACAGTGGAGTAGGACATACGTGCAGATAAGCACAATATAAAAGTTTAGTGAAATAACCACAAATGGACCCACCAATCAAACACCCTTTGCACTTTTAGGGATGCATTAATAAGCCTGAAATAAGGTAGCCAGCCAGTGTTCCCACCAGCCTCAGAGCCCCTCCTCACTCCCACTCCTTGTCCGCAGGCAAAACAGGAACCACAAAAACCAGCTTCCTCACATAAAGTGCCTGTGGCCTGGGGGGGGGGGAGGCGGAAATGGCTGAGGTATGAATACAAGACCTGAGTCACTTGAACTGCCGTCATTATGTGCCCCCTCCCCCTCCCCAATTCTGAGGTTCAGCTGCTCCCTTTTTTTGTCTTTCTGGGCTCCTTCCTTACCCTTTATCTGCAAAAGTTCACCTGATTTCCCTGTGTGATGTACATCCATCTCCTAGCTCCTGGTGGAGGGTACTGTGGGCCCTGGGGAGGGCGGAGGGCAGAGCTTGGGGTGGGGACAAATAAAAGGAGACAGGGGAAGAGGAAGTGTTGTGGGTCTGAGGAAAGACTGGTTTGTCTTGGTGTGTGAGGACTGTCATTGTCGGCCTTCTGGACAGCAGACAAGATGGACTTCCTCAGGCAACACTTCCCTGGGCTGCATCAGGCCTTGAGAGGAGCACTGGTGAGTGGGGCAAAGAGATGCCAGAGATTTTCACACTAATTCCTGGGGCTACACTTTCCCTTCCCTTTTGACCCTTACCTCAGACTAGAGATTTCTTCTGTAGATCAGATGGTCACCTTGTAGCCCCCTTTCCTAGGAGCAATCTCCATACCTTCACACATGTAAGCCTTTTCCTCTTCCTTCTACAGAGCCTGTTTTCCCTCTCTTGCCAGATCCCAGAGCCCCACATCCTTCCCCTGGACTTCTCTGCCATTCTGCCTGGGATCGGAGTCCTCAGGGAGAGAGGCCAGGCCTGCCCTTAATGTCCTTTCCCCTCCCTCTTTTCTTCCAGGACTCCTTCAGCACCTTTGTCTCCTACCTCATTGGAGATGGAGTCCCCACTGCCCAGAGGGGAGCGAGTCACGCAGCTGAGGAACTAGGGGAGGTGGGTGCGGGAAGGCTCAGGAGGGCTGTGGAGGAGGAAGCTCAGGAGGCCCTGGAAGGCCTTGGTGGCAGCCAAAACGAAGAGTGTGAAGGGCTGAGAGGACCTGGAGCGGCTGGAAGACGCCAGGAGGAAATTTCAGCTGCAGAACAGACCCGGGGTTGGGAAGAAGGCAGCTCCCATGGATCCCAAGCAGATAAACAAGATAAGGGGACCTGCAAGGCAGTCCAGGACACCAGGTGCCAGGAGCCAAAGGCCCCCTTGGAGACCTGGAAGAAGCCTGAGGCAGGGGCTGCGGTTGGCCGAGACAAGAGCAGTGAAGCCCAGGACAAGCAGGAGCCCGGTGAGCAGGAAGTGAACAGAGGGGAGACACTGAGAACCTGGGAACAGGAGGAGGAGGAAGAGGTCAGGGCAAGAGAGCCAGGGGTGGCCGAAGGGGTGGAGTCAGAGTGGACCTGGCACAAGGAGTCTGAGGGGAAGGCTGTGGTTGGCTGGCAAACTGTGGCAGAGGATGGTAGGGAGACACAGCAGGCCAATGAGGAGATTGGAGAGGAGACCCAGAGGCCTGAGGTTGGGAAGGAAGAAGAGGTGATGATAATGGTGAGGGGAGACCATGCCCTGGAGGAACTGGGGGTACAGGGTCCAAGGGCAGAGCATGGAGTCTGGCCAGCCTCGAGCAGGGAAGAGACCCAAACTGCTTCAGGTGGTGCAAAGGCCTGGACCACGTCAGTGAGGGAACAGGCTGACCACCCAGTAGTCAGGGAGACAGACTATGAGACAGTCCTGGAAGGAGGGACCCCAGAGGGCACTGAGAATGTCCGGGTCCAAGATGAGGCCTCTGAGGAAGACTATGTAATGGAGGTGGATGAGAAGACAGAGGCTGAAGACAGCCTTTCCCCCAAACACACCCAGGACTCAGGATCCAAGAGAGAAGAAGGGGCTGAAGCTCCAGGGGCAGGGAGGGAGGCCAGGGGAGCCTGGGAATCAGAAGAGGAGGAAGTGGAGGAGTTTGAGGGCCAGGAAGGCCAAGGCAGGACTGAGGCTGAGGGGAGGCAAGACTCCGAGGTCAGGGTTCCTCAGGTCAGGCTTGAGGAGACGACGCAGAAAGAGGAGGAGAAGGGGACTGGCTGGGCCACAGAAGCCCGGCTACTCCAAGATGAAGAGACAAAAGGGGCTGAAGGTGATGCAAACTTAGAGGCAACCCTGGAAGCCAGGTCCGAGGTGTTCACAGGGCAAAGGAGTGAGGATGAGGCTCAGACAGGATGGAGCGGCTGCAGAGCAGAAGAGGAAGGCCTTGGAAGGAAAATCGGTCAAAGTGAGGAGCCAGAGCTAAAGGAAGTGGCCCAGTTCCTGGCAGAGAACACAGACGACAGCCACAGGACTGAGGAAGAACTCGGGAAGTTTCCAGAAATGGGCAAAGAGGAAACAGAAAGAAACCTGGTGGAGGATGCCAGGTCCTTAGATTGTGGACAAGCTGCTGTCCGCGTCTCTGAGGCAGATGCCTGGGGAGCCCAGAGGAGAAGGGACGTGGAGAGAGGAGGTAGCCTGGAGAAAGTCGATGATGCTGAGGAGGAGGCTGCAGGAGGGGCTGAGGCCGAGAGAGGTGGAGAAGCTGAACTACAGGGGCAGTGGGAGACCACCCCAGACGCTGAGTGTGGGGCAGTGGCGGAGGAGGACCCTCTGGAAGCAGAGAACCGGGAGCCAGGTGGGGGCTGCGAGGCAGAAACAGGGACAGGTCAGTCACTAGAAAAGTCAGAAGCCAAGGATGAGAAGGTAAAGTCTGCAACGCCATGGTGGGAGCACAGGCTGGAGGTTCTGAACTTCCAGGAGAGACAGGACGTGCCGACCTCAAGTTGTGTGGCTCCCGAGAGGCTGGGAGATACGGCAGACCTGGATGTAAAGGAGGCTGCAGTAGAGGCAGGACCAGAAAGGGAGGTTGGAGGTTCCTGGGAGAGGGAGTTTCAGAGAGGCTGGGACTCAGGTGAGAGAGAGGAGGCTGAGGGAGGTAGGGAGCTTTCTGAGGCCCAGCATGTGGAGGCCACGGAGGGAGAGGACAGGAGTGGGCAGGAGTTCAGCCTGGAGGCCTCTGCAGAGGACGAAGAGAATGGCCGAAGACATCAGGCAGAGGCTTTGGAGGCCAAAGGAGAGTCTGAGAGGGACCAGGCCCAGATTGGGGAATGCTCAGTGGCAGATAAGATCTTGAGGATGGATTGCTTTATCTCAGGTTCCCTGGTGGCAAGAACAGAGGGGACTGTGGCCATGGGGGAAGCTGAGGGGCTCCTGGGAAAGCAGGCAGTGGAGGGGAAAGTGGAGGAGTGGCAGATGGTAGAGGACTTAGAGGACGGGGAGCAGCGTGGGGACCACAACCTTATGGGAAAAGCACGGAGGACTCTTGATGTGGAGGGTTTTGAGGTGGCTGGAGGCCAGAGGCTGGAGAATAAGGAGGTCAGGGAAGATGAGGAGGTTGGGGAGGCAAGGGAAGCCGAGGCAGCCTCGGAGGCCGAGGAGACTGGAGAGATGGAGAATAAGGAGACGGTGGCCTGGGAAGCCGAGAAGCCCGAGGAGGCCAAAGAGAAGGAAGCTGAGAAAGCCGAAGAGGCCTGGGGAGCTGGGTCCACTGAGGAGGCGGACATGGAAGGCCTGAAGGACATAAATGGCCAGAAAGAACAGCCAACAACTCCAGACCATCCAAAGGCTGAGCCCGAGCTACCCATGGAGGCAGAGGCTTCAGAGACCGCAGAAAGTGCCCCAGGGGATGCTCCCAGCAGCTGGAGTGAGGTGAGGACCCTGGGCAGGGGCCAGGGCCAGATGAGCAGCCCCTGGACGCCAGCCCCATAATGCTCCTTGTCGCCTTCCCTGCAGGCCCCGCTCCCTGGCCTCCGCCTCGATGTCTCCATCTCCCGGAGCCGAGCGCTTCTCTTCCGTAACTCCTCCCAGCGCCGCTCCAGGCCCTCTTCCCTGCGGATCCCTGCACTTGAGCTGCACATGGAGCCCCCCAGCCCACCCCTCAGCCCACCCCCAGAAGCAGAGCTATCAAATTCCCAGCAGACACCCCTCCAGCCAGAGGAAACCCCAGAAGAACCAAGTCTTCCAAGGCCCGAAGGGACCCCAATACCAGCCAGGAGAAGGCCTCTGGGACACGGGTAAGGCTTGGGGCGAGACTGGGATGGGGAGGAGGCTGTGGGTCTGCAGACAAGCTCCCATGGGCCTGTCTTCCTCGCTCCAGGTTTGGCCTCGCACACCCCAACATGATGCAGGAACTGCAAGCCCGACTGGGCAAGCCGAAACCCCAGTGAAGGGGACTGGAAAGAGACCGTGGGAGCCAAGCCCTGAGTGATCCGAGGAGGCCAGGCGGGCCCTACTTCCTCGACCCCCTCCCTCAACAACCTTACACGCCCCTTCTACCTCCTGGACCTCAGCTTCTTGGTGGTGTTTCCCATAAAACCAGACGTCGGTCTCTAAGAATCCTGAACTTAAGGAGGCTCATTCTCCAGAGCATGCTGGTAGACCACCTACCCAACTGGGAGCCTTGGTCACCTCCACAGCCTGCCTCAGTTGTCTGGAGGTTCGAAAAGACAGGAACTGATACCCTTACAGAGTCCCTCCACCTTCCACAGAGCTGTGCAGGTGTAACACGAGGAGAGGGAGCAAGTCTGGAAGGAAGGGCATTTGGAGGGCCTAAGGGACATCACTTGGAATAAACAGTTGGGGAGCAGCAGACCAGTTGCCTCAGAACCCTGCTGAGGGCTTGATAATCACCAGCTGGGCAGTCAGGAGTGCAAGAACCCCAAAAGTTAGCAACAGAGAAGGGTCCAGGGTAGCCAGAGGCTGCAGGCTCCATCCAAGGCCTTCCTGTCCTTTGTGTCCCTTCTCTGAAAAAAAGTTGATGGCGAGAGAGGAACAAGAGTGCTTTATTAGGCACCTAACCTGGGGGCCCAGCCTGAGGGGGACCAGCAGGCCCTGAAACAATAAATAAACCATCCTCTCCCTAAAAAAAATAAATAAATACCTAAGAAATAAATATCTGTCAGGGATTAGAGGGATCTTAAGTTACTGGGTAGGGTTGAAGGTTGGGACAGGTGAGCTGGAGGCTATCCTATCGGTCCAAACTCCAATCTCAAAGGGAGAAGGGACGGGTGATCTCAGAGGTCACTTTGTCAAGGCGGGGGGCTGGACAGTGGGAACCCCAAGGCCTCTGCTGGATCCCCAGCCTGAGAGAACAAAAGCAAGTCCAGCGTAGCCCGAAACAAGACGAGCTCCAAGGAACGCAGCAGCTGGTAGTTGTAGACGAGCTGGGGCCAGGAGGCCTGGGCCACCGCCTGTGAGGGGCTGTCCTGGGAGCCTGGGAGCCTCGCCTTTTCCTCCTTATTCTCTTCTTCCTCAGGGAGGGGGAATCCCGCCTCCTGCACCTGTAGGGAGAGGCCTGTGGGTCAGAGGATGGCCAGGCTGGAAGCCCAAGAGAACCCTCATTCCATTTATGTGCCTAACAGTTTATAATGTCATCCATCAGTGACTACAAGGTCACCCTTTCCCTGATCACTCTCTAAGGAAGCTCTTCAGTGATGTCATCCCCTCATGTGTCCTGCCTAACTTTTTAGTCAAGAAGGTGGAAGTCATGGACCAAGATGATTCTCATGGGGCTGAGTCACTCCTCAAGATGGCCTTGGGGACCTGAGGCTCAGAAGTGCGTCTCTCTGCTCTTCTGACAGAAGGCTGAGGCAGAGAAGGGAGCAAGTGATTTAACTGGGCAACTTGCATGGAGGCCCAGCCCAAGGAAGAATAGTGGGCACTGAAACAATAAACCCTCCTCTCCCTAAAAACGTTACTGAAACAGGAGAGACATGATATATTTGGTTTTTGGTTCTGCTTGTGTTTTCTATTCTCCTTTGATTCCCATTTCCCTTTGAAATGTTCAGGAGGGGCTGGGTGGTGTCAGAGGAAGAAAGGAGAAGGAAACCCATTTGGCTGTCAGGTCGGCTGGTGGAACAACATCTCACGCCAGGCCTATGGAGTGGGTGGTGGTTTAAAAAGGGAGCCTCTGTCTTGTGTGTTGCTCTCTGGAGCTGAGGAGAGGGAGCGGGCGCTCTACCTGGAAGCGAAGATGCCTCTGCAGATCCCGGAGGTCAAGCCTCACGGCCCACAGCTGCCTCCTTTCTGAGCTGGTCCAACCCTTCTGGCTCCCCAGGCCTCCCAGCAGGCCATGGAAGGGACCCAACACCATGGACAGGAAGCAGAGTCGTTCTTGGTCCTATGGAAAAGGAAAGGTCCTCAGACCAAGGATCACACATGTTACATCCAAACTTATCTCTGTTCAGGCCCCACTATCACCCTCATCTTTGCTCCTCATTCCAAACCTCAACTCGAGCCCATCTCCATGCCTGTTCTCATCCTCAACCGTGTCTTTATCCCCACTCTCTTCTCACATTTACCACCATTTCTCATCTCTGCTCTTTTTCTGCTGTCTTTTATCTCTATCCCATCTCTATTGCAAATCTCATTTTCAGCTCCATCCCCAGAACTGCAACTCCGTTCCATTCTTTCTAACTATCTTCCTCATTCCATTTCTGTTTGAGAGATTCCACCCCATCTTCAACCTCTCACCTTGTTTTCACCCTGCCTCTAACCTCTTCTCTCCCCCCCAACCTAATCCCAACCTCATCACGCCCCCATATGCCCAGCCTCATTCTCACCACCTTTCATTCCATCTCCAACTCCTGGTAAACCCCCTATTCCCACAAAAATCACCAACCCTACTCCATTCCTCACTTCATTTTTACCCTCACCTCCAATCTTCTTCCCATCCCAATCCATCCCGTTCTTGTTCTTAGCACCAGGTCCGTCCCTCCTTCCTACCAATCTCTATTTCCAAATCCATTCCATGCGTGTCTCTCTCCACTTCTTTCTGTGCCAGTGTCTCTATTCCTGACCTCATTTCCTTTTCATATCCTATTCTAGTTTCTTTATACCAATGATAGACTCAGCTCCATCTATACTCCGATTTACGATTTATCACAAATTCATTTCCACTTGCTATTGTTATTCTATCTTTGCTTTCCTTAAATTGCAGCCTTATTGGCAGCTCCCCTTACACACCCCAGCAGTTCTCACTCACCGAGATGCGGCTCCAGGCCCAGAAGGTCAGGGAGACATTGGGGAGCTCCTCCCCTTGGGGTAGAAGGTCCAGGCTCACTCCAGGAAGGTGATATTCAGCCTGTGGGGCAGGGTCTGTCAGTGGGGGCTGGAGGAGGTTCAGATGTGCCCATTCCCAAAGCTGGCTGCAATTAGGGAACTCACAAAGCGGTGGGCCAGGCCCTGCACCTCTGAGAGCAGCTTCCTGGCCAGATGCAGGCTGATGGTGAACTCCCTTTGCAGCTCCTGCAAGTTCAGGGGTGGCTTCCCGGGGGGCCTTGGGAATCCCCAAACTCCAGCTCGGTGGAGAAGGGAGGAGAGCAGCAACAGGCTGAGCCCTGGAGAGTCAGGGAGAAGGTGAGCAAGATGAGGGGAGGCTTGGAAGGAGGAAGTCAGGACACCCTTTCTGAGCACACAGTACGCTATCAACTGAAGCTGTTTTCATAGACATCATGTCACTCACTGACTTGTCAAAACCATTAATGAGGCCAGGTGCCATCTGGCAAATCTACAAATGAAAGGAAGACACCCCTGTCTCTAGGCAGACATAGCTCTGAGGTGAGCCTCCCTTTGCAAGAAGATCACAATTTGGATTTTGACACACCCCACACACATACACACAACTTACTCCCTTAGGGAGCTCTGGTGGCTTTAGTGGTAAGAGATTGTGCCAACGCAAAGGTACATGGTTTGGATCCACCAGCTGCTCTGTGGAAGACAGAAGGACTAACTTCTCCTGTGTGATTTATTGCTTTTGAAAATCTACTGCAGGGTCAGCTTTGGGTCGGTTCCAACTCATAGGTACACAATTAACTCCCTTAGTCAAGTGCTTTCCCCCCAGATCTGTATAAAGGCTGTGTGCTTCCTCCAGGGACCTCATAGAAGGCCGCCGCCTGCCCCTCACATGGACACATAATGTTCTGCCAAGGATTCTTTGGGCTCAGCCAGGTGGCTCTAATGGCCTGAAGAGCCAGCTTCAGCCCTCAGGGTGGCTTTGCAGGGAGACCTGCCTGGGGCGAACTACACAGGCCCTGCACTGTGGGGGCGGGGAGAAAGGGGTTGTTTGGAAGGGGAATAAAACCTAGAAGGAGAGGTAAAACCTGTTTCTCATCCTCATCTGCCCTTGGGCAAATCAGGCTCCCATTTGTAAAATGAAGGAGTCATGTGGCTGTTTTCTAAGAGTGCTTCCTGCCTTGTGTTTCTTGGACAGAGGGAAGATGGCAATGGGGTGGGAGCTCTGGGAAGAGAGCTGTGGTCAGTGGTTTCTCCTGCAGGGAAAGGAAATCCAGCAACCACTGGAGTTACACAATTCTCGAAACACAAACCAAAACTGGGCCCCCGAATTGTCCCTGCTCCCTCTTCTCCATTCCTCCTCTCTCTCCATTCTTGAATCCACACCCCTGGGCTCTGCTTCTTCAAGTGTTTTCTCAATGAAGGTGGAGGGGAGCTTCTGCAGCCTTCTTCTTCCCATGAACTTTCTTGGTAGTGGCCAATGCCACAAGATTAGTGGATGCCAGAGGGTCAGGGAGGCCTCCAAGTCAGGGACCCACTCTGACCCTCTGGAATCCTCAATACTTAAGGCAAAGCTTCCAGCCCCAGCAGACATTGGCCACCGACCATTCCTTCCTTCCTACGTGAACTCAGGAGGCCCCAGGCTCTCCTACCACCTTCTGCTCAACAGCCAATCCTGAGTCCTTGAAGCTGTAAAGCTTTCACTTGGTCCTGTTACCTGGGCCTCTGACCAAATTTGGGTACTAGCCCCTGAGTCCTCCAATCACCAATGAGTTTGGACTTTCTTCTAAGCTTCAAAGTAAGCTGACTCAGTGTGCTGCTGGCCTGTCCATAGCCCTCAGGTGTGCTAACTGCTCTTGTTCTTCCTCTTACACCCACTGACTCACTACCATTAAATCAATTCTGACTCAGCAACCCTCCACAGCGGTGCCTGAGGCTATAAATCTTAATGGGAGGAGACTGCCCATCTTTCTTCTTTGGAAAAGTTGGCAGAGGTGAACCACTGGAAATGCCCAGCATTATGGTTCACTGTGCAACACTCTAGACTAAGCCACTCCACTTCTCAACCTCAGACAAGCTCCTGGGTCTCTATTCCTGCATTCCAACCAAACTCTGGATCCATCTGCTCAGTTCTGGTTCAAATGCCTGTCTCACTGTCCCTATTCCTGCCAGACAAACTGTCCCATCCTTTGCCCAGCCTGGACCAACTACCCAACCCTCTGCCTGGGCTCTTCAGCTCATTAATGCCAGCCATCCACTGTCCAGTTCTGGCTAAGCCATCCAACCTTCTGCTCCAGGCACTCACCCCATTCTCACTAACCAAGCTCCCCATCCTTCAGCCAGCTCTTTCTTCACTCTGGCCCCTCCAGCCTTGATCTCTATCCTCCTCTCTCCCATCCTCCACCCAGTTTCAAGCATGTCTCCCTCTGCCCGCAGCCCTGGCCTCACACTCACGCGCACCAAGGTGTCCTGTCATCTGGCCCATGTCGGGGGCCCAGCCTCTTTGGCCTGTCATCGTCTGGGTGGGAGTCTTATACTGGGGGCTGTGCCCAGTTTCACTTTCCATCCTGCTTGTACTTTCAGCTTTGCGATTCACTGTCTTTCCTTTGCACCAAGCCCTCGCTAAAATGGGGAAATGTAATTTCCCTTCCCAGAGTCGGTGGGAGGCGGGGGGGGGGGGATAGGGGTGGGAAGTTGGGGTTTCAGGACAAGCTGAATTCCTGACTACCTGCCAAGCTCCCAGGTCCAGCCCTCACCTCACTTCCCTGTTCTGCCGTCTTGAGTGAGTTACCCCAGCTCTAGACACTAGTGGGCCCCAGAGACTTGAGCTCTGCCTTGCCGCTCTGCTCTGCCGCCATTGCCAGGCATCAACAGGTAGACAACCAGGTAGAGGACCACCCACCAAAGAGACTGAGGGTTTGAAGGCATCGTTCCTCTCTCCTGGTTCACCAGATGGTACGGGGAAGGAGAACTAAGGGAAGCCAGCGCTCCATGAGTGGCTTGGATGGAGCTTTAGGGAAGGTGGGCAGACTCTTAGCCTGGACAGCGTCAAAGCTCGATCTGATGCCATCAAGGATGAGATGAGATCCCAGTCTACAGAAAAAAGTTCAAGTCTAGATGAAACTAGGCCCACGGCCGCATGTGGGGCTGGGATTAGAGGTCAGTTTGGGATCAGGGTCTAAACTCCATCTAGGGCTGAGGTCTGGATTCAGAACTTGGGGCCAATGTCTTGACACTGACTGTTTGGGGGTCAGAGACAGCAATGGGTGTGGGCTCTGAGCTCCGTGCAGATCAGGCTAGGGCTCTGTCTGTGGCTGAGGTTCTGATCCAGTATATCCTGGGTCAGGACTCAAGTTTGGGCTGGCCTAACAGTTCAGTTGACAACTAGAGTCAAAACTTGGTCCATAGCCAGGTTTGGGCTGTGTGAGGTCAGAATCAGAATAACCCTGCAAATCCAGTGATGTAAGCTTCTGCTTTGTAGAGATCCTGGTCAGAGCTGGGCTGCATCAACTGCAGAAGCCCCTTCCAGCACGGCGGCGCCCTGGATTTCCCATCTTTAGGGGGAGCATGGGGGTTTCTTGGTCTTCCCCGAGGTTCACTGATGCTTTCTTTTTAGGACCTGTGGGGTTTCCCTGTTGGGTCCCTTCTGTGATACAGAAACCAAGGGGCTTCCCCTTCCTGTACCCTAGCCCTCCAAGCGCACCAGGGCACTGCCCACCAAGCCCACCTGGGACCAACTGCCAGGGAAGTACCAGCATCTGCCAGGGAACCATCTCAGAGAGCTTATGAAGGAGGAGGGTGTGAGATGAAGCTGGCTTTGTGTTCAGCACATCCTGGGCCCAGTGGAGGCAGCTCACCACTCCCTCCATCCCAGGCAGCTGGGACACCCCTCTAGGGGGGATCCTGTACATCTTGAAGAGCACTCAGGTGGCCTAGTGGTGAGGAGTTGTGTTGTTATTATGTGCTGTCGAGTCGCTTGCGACTCATAGTGACCCTATGTACAATGGCCCTAAACTCTGCTCTGTCCTGTGCCAATCGTACTGTCTCCAACATGCCTATCCCGATTACCCCAGTCACTGAATCAATCTACCTCATAGAGGGCCTTCCCCTCCTGCGCTATCCCTCCACCCTCCCAAGCATGATGTCCTTCTCCAAGGACCGGTCTCTCCTCACAACATGTCCAAAGTATGTTAGATGGAGCCTCAGAATCCTTGCCTCCAAGGAGCCACCTGGATTAACCCTTTCCAGGATGAATCTGTTTGTTTTCCTAGCAGTCCATGGTACTCTCAATACTCTTCTCCAGCACCAAAGCTCAAAGGCATTAATTCTCCTTCTATCCTCCTTGGTCATTCATTGTCCAACTCTCTGATGCATAACAAGTGATTGCGAAGACCATGGCCTATATCAGACACACCTTACTCTCCAGAGAGACACCATTGCTCTTCAGTACTTTGGAGAGGTCCCTAACAGCACCTTTCCCATAGCAATGCACCTTTTCATTTCCTGGCTACTGGTGCCAAGAGTGTTGACTGTGGAGCCAAGCAAACTAAAGCTGTGAACAATCTCAATCTCTTCACCATCCATCCTGATGCTGCCAATTGGTCCAGTGGTGAGAATCTTTGTCTTCTTAACATTGAGCCTCAATCCATATTGGAGGCTGCAGTCCTTGACCCTCTGCAGCAAATGCTTCAGGTCCTCCTCAGTGTCAGCAAGCAGGGTTGTGTCATTTGCATAATACAGATTGTTGATAGATCGTCCACCAATCTAGACCCCACATTTCTCCTCATAGAGCCCAGCTTCCCGGATAATCTGTTCTGCATACAGGTTGAAAAGGTATGGAGATAGGACTACTAACCCAAAAACATGCTGTTCAAATTCACCAGCTGTCCTGCAGGAGAAAGATGGACAATCTCCTCCCGTACAACTTGCCATCTCTGAAAACCTACTGGAGGGTCAGGCATGAGTCAATTCTGACTCAGTGGTGCCTAACAGCAACATAATACATCTTTGCAGAAATGAATGAATTTAAAAAAATAAATAAAAAACCATTTATAAGAAACCCCACAACAAAATAAATCCTTAGAGGCTGATGATAAGGACACATGAAAGTGGTGGTCTCTAGCCGGTCATGCATCCCAAGTCATTCTGTGCCTGGAAGGGCCAAGTCACTTCCTACACGGATCTTCATTCAGCACCTCCTGTGTCCCTGGCCCTTTGCTATCACCTGGACGCACCACACTGCTCAGTGTCAAGCTTCACCTCCAGCTCTCGGGCCACAATCTCCTGGCCTTGCAGCCTCACTTAACTGTCCTCCCCTCCCAGCTCCTCCTTGGGCTACCAAGGCTTCCTGCCCTTTGCTGCTGCAGCTGATTCCTCCAGAGTTGCCCCTCACTCCCAGCCTATTCCTGTCCTGGCAGCTTTCCACTCATGCTAGAACATGATCAACCACCACTTCCTTGGATTTACAAAAGCTTTCCCCTCTGCCTGAAATTCTCTTACCATCGCCTCTCAAATATTTTCTCCCAAAGCATCTCTGTGCCCAGGGACCTTGTCACAAGCTTGTCCCTGAATGGCTCAACGTTTCCACCATATTTTTTTTTTTTTAATACTGGTTTACTTACAAAGTTCGTACACAGTGTTTTTCACACCGGATCTGTCCCCTTTCCTTTATTCACCCCTCCCTCCACCATATCTCTTGTTTGAATACACACTTCCTGTCTGGTTCACTTCTCTCTACCCTCACTCATAGCATTCTAGCTACACTGACCTTATTATTGCTTCTAGAGCAAGCCAGGCACAACCTGCCTCAGGACCTTTGCACATGTTGTACATTCTGCCTAGAACGCTTCTTTTCAGATAGCTACACCGTTTACTCTCTCCTTAACTCTCTCTGTGGAAGCGTCAGCTTCTCAGAAAGGACCATCTCTGGCTGCCCTGCTAGAGAATGTAACCCTGCCAGTGCAGGGTTACTCCCTTTCTCCGGATTATCTAACAGAAAAACATTTATTTTAGATATCTAACATCTGTCTCCCAAGCGTCAAGGACTCTCCTTCATAGGGTCGCTATGAGTCACCTGCGACCTGAGGGCATTTAACAACAGTAATAGCAACACAGAGAGAGAGATCAGCTGGCCCAGTGGACAGAAAGAGATGCTACCAAGCCAAAGGTGAGGGGTGGCTTTTATTCCACGGCCCTCAGGCCTGTCTTTCATTGTTTTTCTTCAGACATTCCTCTTGGTTGAATAGCCTTGGTGTACAAGTTGCCCTACAGTGGTCACTTGTGGTTGCTGTGAGGCTGAACACTGTGACACTGATGTGTCAAATGTGTTAATGGTTGGCTATCCAATGTGGACAGAGAGTGGGGTGGAGCTCCCCGATTAAAACAAGCTTGGAAGGAGGAGTGGCATCCACTTCCGTAATAGCTTGCTTCCGGAAACCCTATGAACCTGGAGAGAGGAAGAAAGACACCCAAGCGTTGAGGACTCTCCTTCATAGGGTCGCTATGAGTCGCCTGCGACTCGACAGCACTTAACAACAACATCTGTCTACTGTCCATTTGTCCATTCTGGACATGAGTTCTACCGGCGTGGGAAGTTTTCCTTGTTGTGTACGCCCCAGCCACTCATTGCTGTTGAGTTGGAACTGACTCATAGCTCACCCTCCAGTGGTTTTCAGAGGCCGTAAATCACATGGGTGGAGAGTACCCATTTTTATCCTTGGGAGCAACTGGTGGATTCGAACCTCATACCTGTGGGGTTGGCAGTACAACTCCTTACTCACGTGGCCACCAGAGCTCCTTTAGCCCCACTGTTGTTGGGTTGTGTACAAAGAGTTGGAATCAACTCCCAACAGCTAATCATAACAAAAAGAATTGGTTGTGGTCACACCAGTTCGAATTCATGGTAATAGCAGGTGCATCATGGTAGAACGAAGGCTCCACAGGGTTCTCAATGGCTGATTTTTCCTGAGAAGATCCCCAGGGGTTTCTTTTGAAGTGCAATAACCATTTGTACCCTCTGGGGACCCTTGAGCTGACAATAAATCCAAGCCAAACCCGCCACTGTGATGCTGATTCCAGTGGACAGTGGTCTCAGGTATCCTAGGCTAGAACTGTGCTCCACGGAGAACATTGGCAGGTCTTTCTCCCAAAGCCCCTCTGGAGTTAGCAGCTAAGCACTGATTGTCTGTAGCACCCAGGGTCTCCCAAACTAGCAATAACAGCAAATGAAATACCTGTTGACTAAATCTTGTACCACAAGCCCTCAATCCAGGTGTGCTCCAGTCAGTGATGGGGGACCAGCCTCTGAGGTCTCACCATCAACTTCCTCTCTCTCCAGCCCAAGACTCCAGCCAAATGTCTGCTCAGATCACCAGTGCAGAGCCATGCCAGCAGCCCAAGTATCCCCGTGGGAGGTGTGAGCATAAAGGCACATGTGAGCATACCCCTGGGCTCCTGGGCCTGACTCTGGACTGGTGATTTGACAGA